AAATCAATCGATTGCAATGGAGTGGACGATATGAATGATAAGATCATGGAAATTGTCCATGCGGTCAGAGCTAAGTTTTGCAAGAACCGCCGCAAAAGAACACAAAAACATCCGATCACATTCTTAATCTCATGGCTGTTGGATGGTAAATGAAGCTACAGACCTCAGTAAATTTGATAATATACAGACAACTGAAGAGACAGATCTCCAAATGCATGCGGCGGGACTTACGCAACTTTAATACTGCTCGTATTAACGGAGCGATCGAGTGTAACCAGGGCTCCAAAGTCTTTGCCAGAAATCTGTCTGCCAGAAAGAGCCAACTGTCGAAGCTGAAGACCGAATGAGGCAGTACCGTTTCCGGGACATCTGAGATTTTGAGTGAGATTGAGAGGTTCTTTGGGCAGCCGTACACGTCATCGTTGGAGCCACCCGCAAGTGTGAGTAATAATCCAAGAGCAAGTCTTATCCGACACTATCCCGATGATATCCCGGACGTTAGTCTGAGCGTGATTAGAATGGCTCTCCAGCACCTTAAAAACAGCAAGTCCACGGGCGAGGATGGAATTACAGCGGAGCTTCTGGAAGTGGGTGGAAAACCGGTACTTGAAGTCCTTCGGGAGCTCTTTAATTCCGCCCTCCATGGTGGTACTACTCCGGCGGCGTAGAGCAGAAGTGCGGTGGTCTTGTTCTTCAAGTAAGGTGACAACGCACTCTTGAAGAACTACAGACCGATTTCCCTTCTAAACCGCGTCTACGTGCTGTTTTCGAGAGTCATTACGAATCGTCTCGCACGCAGACTCGACGACTTACAGCCTCCCGAACAAGCCGGTTTCCAAAAAGGCCTTAGTAACATAGACACATTCATACCCTTCGGCATATTGTAGAGAATACCGAAGAGTGCAATCTGCCACTTTGGCTTGCGTATGTGGACTTTGAGAAAGCCTTTGATTCCGCCCAAATTTGGGCGGTGCTGCAGTCTCTTCAGTGGTGCCAAGTGGACTGTCGGTATATCGTAGTGCTGAAGTATTTGTACAGCAGGGCTACAATGGCTATCCGAGTACAGAAGCAGAGTACGAAGCATACCCAACTGCAGAGAAGTGTAAGACAGGGTGACTGTGTGAAACTCTTTACCACTGCATTGGAAAACATTTTCAAGCTACTGGACTGGAAATGATACGGTATTATCGACAATTCGACGGTATATCAATTATATATCAACATTCACCTTCGATTTGCCGATGATATAGTCCTTATGGCAGAATCGCTGGAGGAACTAAGCACTATGCTCAATGACCTCAATAGTGTCTCCCAACGGATAGGTCTTAAGATGAACATGGACAAAACAAAAATCATGTTTAACGTCCATGTCACACCTATGCCGGTAGTTTTTGGGAGCACTAAGCTAGAAGTTGTTGATGAATATGTTTACCTGGGACACATAGTCCGACTAGGTAAGTCCAATTTTGAGCTAGCGGTCAATCGACGGATTCAACTCGACTCGGCAGCGTTCGGGAAATTACGGCACATCTGTGATAATCTGGTGAGTGATGTACTCGCCATTGATGTTATTACCGTAACCTTTCCAGTCCAGAAGCTTGAAAACATCTTGCAATGCAGCGGTGAAGAGTTTCGGGGATATAACATCACCCTGTCTTACACCTCTCTGCAATTGGATAGGTTTCGTACTCTGGTTCTGTACTCGGATAGCCATCGTAGCCCTACTGTACAAGCACTTCAGAACTTCGATATACCGACAGTCAACTTGGCACCGCTGAAGGGACTGCAGCACCGCTCAAATTTCGACGGAATCAAAGGCTTTCTCATAGTCCACATACGCCAGACATAGTGGCAAATTGTACTCCTCGGACTTCTGTTCAATTTGCCGAAGGGTATGTATGTGGTCTATGGTGCTAAAGCCCTTTCGGAAACTGGCATGTTCGGGTGGCTGGAAGTCGTCTAGTCTGCGCGCAAGACGATTCGTAATGACTCTCGAAAACAGCACGTAGACGCGGCTCAGAAGGGAAATCGGTCTGTAGTTCTTCAAGAGAGCGTTGTCACCTTACTTGAAGAACAAGACCACTGTACTTCTGCTCCACGCCTCCAGTGTAATGCCACCATGGAGGACGGAATTAAAGAGCTTCTGAAGGACTTCAAGTACCGGTTTTCTACGCGCTTTCAGAAGCTCCGCTGTAATTCCATCCTCGCCTGGGGTCTTGCCGTTTTTAAGGTGCTGGAGAGCCATTCTAATCTCGCTCAGACTGACGTCCGGGATATCTTCGGAATAGTGTTGGATAAGACTCGCTCTTGGATCGTTACTCACACTTGCATGTGGCTCCAACGATGACGTGTACAGCTGCCCATAGAACCTCTCAATCTCACCCAAAATCTTAGGTGCCCCGGAAACGATGCTGCCACATTCGGTCTTCAGCTTTGACAGTTGGCTCTTTCTGGCAGACAGATCTCTGGCAAAGACTTTGGAGCCTTGGTTCCGCTCGATCGCTTCTTCAATACAAGCTGTATGGAAGTAGCGTAAGTCCCGCCGCATGCATTTGGAGATCTGTCTGTTCAGTTGCCTGTATGCTGTCAAATCTGTTGAAGAATGTAGCTTCATCTCCCGTCTAACAGCCATGAGATTGAGAGTGTGATCGGAGAGTTTTTGTATTCTTCTGCGGCGGGTCTTGCAGAACATAGCTCCGACCGCATGGACAGTTTCCACGAGCTTGTCATTCATATCGTCCACTTCATTGCAGTCGTCTAGGCACTGAAAACGGTTTTGTAACTCGAGCTGTAAGGTTTCGGGACTTTGGATTAGAGCACGAGAGGGACGGAGCGTTGACTCCATTAGACGAGACCTCTCCAACTTAACGTTTAGGTTCAGTGTGCCTCTAACCATTCGGTGATCGCTACCAGTTTTCACCCTCGCGATCACGGAGACATCACTGAACAGTTGTCGTCTGGTCGTCATAATGAAGTCAATCTCAATTTTTGTCGAACCGTCGGGGCTCGACCAGGTCCACTTCCTGTGGGGCCGCTTCTGGAAGAAAGAGTTCATCATAAAGAGTCCCTCTTTCTCCATGAAGTCGGCCAGCTGCAGGCCCCTTGGGTTCCGTTGCCCTATTCCAAATTTCCCTACTTTCAGCTCACCGTTCTCTCTTGTGCATAGTTTTGCATTGAAGTCTCCCATTAACACCGTATATTGGGTTTTGGAGGAATACATGGCTCTAGAGATATCCTCATACATTTCCTCCACCTCCTGATCGGGGTGTGCCGAGGTTGGTGCGTAAACCTGTATGACCTTCAGCGAATACCGTTTGGTGATTCTGAGTATAAGGTACGCAACCCTCGTCGACACACTCTTAATCTTTACAAAGTTGTTAACGAGAGATTTGTGGACGATAAATCCGACACCTCTTTGGGAGAGATGGTCGCCCTCCCGGTGATAGAGCAAGTTGCCGGATTCGCCGTGTCCTCCCCCTCTCTTCGGACTTCGGATAATCCTATAATATGCCAGCGTAACTTGTCTTTCTCTTCTTCCAGCTCCATGATCTTCTCATCAGTTCTCAGGGTGCGTGCGTTGTATGTTGCCAGGTCGAGTCATCTTAGGTAGCAACCGAACCTCCACCGGAGATTCTTAGCACCACCTGCTTCGCCGTTACCATGGTCGCCACCGTAGCCAGGAATAGCAGAGCCGCCGGGGACTGGGGGCTGTCTCTTTGTTACTATCATCATAGGGGGGTATTTGCCATAGTTGCCATGCTTGGCGAGCAGGTCGGCAACCGCAGTTTTTTTATTGTAAGTTTGTTGTTATTAGGAAGATGCTGCTGTCCATCTCCTGCCTGTTTCCCTTTGTCGCCTTTTACGACACCCACGGGAAGATATGGGGTAGTGGATATTCTTAACCGCCACTACACGGCAAACTTGACAACGAGACTGTGCAACCAATGCGTGTTGCCAGTGTTGACCTATGGAACTGAGACGTGGTCCTTCAATGCTGGCCGTACGAGGAAGCTCAAAGTCGCTCAGCTAGCTATGGAGAGGGCTGTGTTTGGCGTTTCTCTGCGTGATAGACTTGTGATAGGATATCCGCAGTAGAACCAGAGTAACCGACATAGCCCAAAGGATTAGTATGCTGAAGTGGCAAGGGGCCGGCCATATAGCTTGAAGAACCGACAACCGATGGGGAAGAAAGGTTCTTGAGTGACAGCCTCGTACCGGCAGGCGCAGAGTGACGACCTGGTAAGACATGCAGGAATTCAATGGATGCAGGTGGCTCGGGACCGTTTTTGTGGCATTCCTTGCGGGAATCCTATTTACAGCAGTGGACTGTAATGATGATGATGATGATGATGATATATGCTCGAGTAAGTGTACTCCATTCGGGCCTCAGGCTCCTAGAGGCCGTTTAGTAGTGGTGCGTTTTACATATATTTTAGACGATCGCTTCTTCTAATGGTAAGGCGTGTATGTTCCACTCATATTGCAAAGGATAGTAACCGCTCCTGTTGTTATGCAGGTGTCACCATGCTACTATGGCCCTTAGACTCCTACGTTTATCATCAATTAGAAATAAAATATTGAAACGCAGATGCATGCTTACCCCCTTTCTCATCACTTATCATACGAAACATGGCAACATTACCCTGCTATTTTACTCTGGTATTTTGTAAGTGTACCGATCGATCCGATCCTGTTGTACTGCAGCCATATTTCGCCCATTAATTTAGTTATTATAGTCCATGACAAGTCCAATGCTGAATAAAGTCTTATTCAATGCCACAAATCACGGTCTTGAGCCGCTTTCATCCATCGACACCCATTATACATTTGGCATTTTGAGATAGTGTTGCCATTATTGTAAGCCATGAGATTTTTCCCATCATCACGTGTTACGACAACGTCCACAGGATAAAATTACACGGAATAAGATTTTTTAAATTTCTTATACCGCAATTAATATGCCCCTTTAATTTTTACATTAAATGTTTTAAAATACATACCGACGTCATGTGGTAGATGTGGTTGCTTACTGAGCCAGTCCTTGATAGCGACCAGGTCTTTGTTGTACTCCACTTCTTGATCAGGCATGACTCTGTAATAAAATATGATGTCATCGATGTGTTTTTATACGGACATTACCTACGTAGGTATCGCTCGATTTACTTCATTAAGGCTGCGCACAAAGAAAATTACTCGTAGAATTGAATTTTTTATAGTCAATCAAGATCAAAACTGAAAACAAAAAAAAAGTCTCGTGTCGCCTCTTTCTTTTTAAGTCAAAATGACTGTGACACCACGAGACTTATGGATAAATTAAAAAATGAGTAGCCTTATGTGCTGTAATTATTTAAATTCATAATAGAATAATGATTGTCTCTGTTTTCGGCTATATAGTTCTGTTTTCAATAGGGTGCAGTTTTTATGGTGAATAATTTGATTTTAGGTACGTACAATTACTAAAAAGTGATTGTGAACTGTCACCAAGGTTTTGTTTAAATTTTGTTATTGGTTCTGGTTCTCGGAAACGGCTCTAACAATTTTGATGAATTTTTGTATTCAGTTTTACTTCTCCAATTTTATATATATAAGAAAAAATATATATAAGAAAAATACCACTGACTGACTAATCACGATATATCTAAAAATATATACCCGATTAATTTAAAATTTAGTATAGTAACTCTATTCGAAATGTAGACGCTCGCTAAGAATGGATATTACGATAGTCCCATCAAAAAAAAATTTCTTGATATTTTACACTTAGGTTCCGCAATAAAATATTATAGTGCACCCAGCGAAGCAAGCGGTTATCAGATAGTAGTTTATATAGATAGGTTTTATCCCTGAGATAATATTTTTTAACGCAGAGCAAACATCGGTCGCGCAGGTAATCTATACAAATTATTTATCTTCTTCATCAACGTAAAAGTACACTGCTGGACCTGGATCTCTTCCGTTGTAGGAAGTATTTGCTTGGCAGGTGAATTGACCATATCATTACCGGATCTTCAATTTTTTGATGCTACTGCCCGTCGCCGGAAATGGGTATTTTACATTATTTTTTTTTTTTGGTATTTTAATTTTTTTTGACGAGACGAATTGGAAATGATGTATTCTCATACGTCACTACCACACGGTTATAACAACAGACATTATGTAATATAATTACCGTTATTATATCTATTGCATGGAGTCTGTTAACGTTTATTATCTTTAGGTTAAGACTCGTCCATTTCGATGTGCAAGTAAATATATGGTTATCCTTGTGAAGAGTAATTTACTACAATACGTATATGTAAACACTATCCTTGATCTTTGAGTGCGTGAATTCAATGTTAAGTTGCCCTTTAGGTATATTTACCTATATTTTGCGATTCTTGAATCGTTTATTAAACGCACAATTTTGGATTGAGGCACTAAGCCTCGTCAAAATGACGAAACATTTATAAATTTACTTTATGCTCATCCGTCATCATCCGTCCGTCCGATAGTTTGTTTATTGCATTGTGTATATCACGGTGTTGGGTACTCGGTAATTTAAAAGGCGTTTTATCGAAAAAAATTACAAAAATATTGTTTTTTTTTTTTATTAAACTGAAGTGACAAAGGAAATTTGTTGTCTGAAAATAAATGAATTTGAAAGAATGTATTTTGAATTTACATTGCACCTGATGATGAGCTACTGCAGTCCATAGAAATCTGCAGCCAACTTCAAACAAAGATGGATGGTGACACCTCTGCGACTAAGATGGAATGCTTCAAAGCCTGTAATTATATCTACTGGCTACATTCTTAAAGGATTTGCGTCACGTACAAATGCGAAAAGCTTACCCGTCTGTCTGTCAGAAAGTTTTTACAAGATTAGGTACTGGAGATGAGAGCTGGATTGGCTATGACAAGACCAAACGTAAAGTCAGGTTGATTTGACGATTTGTAAAGAAGATAAGCCGCCACTTACACCTAACTTATATGATTGTGGATTGAAGATTATGATCTGTTACTGGTGGGATAATAGTGAAATGTTTAATTAAGACTTTCTAAAAATTGAAAGTAAGACAATTTAAATCAATTCAAATTACATCTATTACACTATTTCAGTCAACCGCTTACCAATTTAGTCAAAGGTATTTGCAGAAATCGCGCAAGAAAATCTAATATGGGGGAAGTGGGGAGGAGGAAAGACGGGATGGCAGAAGACGGGGTACCTGTACCTGTCTTAAATCAGAAAGCAATTGACCAATCACGATCGTTTCTGCACATTACACTTTAGTGAGCGAAGTCACCGGGCAACGACACCGCGTTCTTTATTTATAATATGGAAAAATCAATATTTTTTTTTGCTTTTTTATTAGAGTTTTTATTCACTTTATTTGAAACGTGTTTGTTTGACAATAAACCGACACGACCGGAGAGAGATCGAGCGCAGGTACCTACAACGGCTTTACGTAATTTCCGAGGCACGGGGTGGAACACTGCCAACTTCCTAACTCCAAGCAACTACTGAGAGTTTCTTGACGTGAAAACTCAATAACTGATGTTTTTCTTGACCTAACCCGTGATTAGAATACGGGACATCCTGATTAGCTACAACCACTAGGCCACCGAGGTGGTCCAACTATACTACTTATACAATAAACTAATTTTACAGATTTTATCGCGTTTAATTTTAACTTATTAATTGCCAAAATTTCAGCCGGGGATTTTACTTATAATTTATTTTGTAGGTATGTATATAATGTAGATCGATGTTACGTTTTTCGATGGAGAGTGGATGCTGTGTTCCTCGAATAAGAATTTAAAAAAAAGATGCGATGTACCCCTAAGGACCAAGATGGATTGCCTCGTTAGATACCAGTAAAAAGGATCTCAGTTCTCGAAACTAACCAATGGACTATGAGAGTGAGGGAATATAGAGTGCACCTGTGCTTGCGCATTCACTTGAGCGCTATAATCCTGACCTGCACCGATGGCTAGTCTCCGTTGAGGCTGGCCGCCACCGTGACCGAAATTCGGTCTGGAGGAAATTATTATTTCTTTTTCTTTTAAAAAACGTTACCCCCACACTACGATTTTCTCCTGTGTCGTGGAGGCAGTTTACAAACATAAATTGCACGAGGACAATCATCCAGACCCGAAACAATTATTTGTAGGCCGTGCAAATACTTGTTCCGAGCGAGATTCGAACCCGCGGCCCCCAGCGCAACTCTTTGCTAAGCCACTGCGCCACGGAGCCATCTTATTACTATATTACTTTTTTCAGTTATGCAATAGTGATGTAAAATTATAAATATTAAGAATTAATATAAGAGTTATTTACTTTGAAAATAAGGAAGAATATAATACTTTCCTTAATATTCTATGGAAAATTACTGATATATTGTTTTAAGAGAAAAATTTAAAAAAAAAATTAAAAACTAAATTAAAAATATGTATATTATGTGGGAGTCGTAAGAGGCGACAATAGGAAAGGCCAGAAAGACGAATAAAATAATAAACTATATCAGCGAAACAATAACTATATATAACTAAACAAACTATGACAATTTAATTACAGGTTTAATGGTACCGACGGGAAAACCAAAATAATAAATTACAATGGTAACATGTCAGTCTTGAAATATATAACTGGTTACAGGGAGGAAAGCCAGAGATGCGAGAAGTCCATCTGGTAGTCAGTGTAGAGAGAGAACTGTCACGTTAAAAAGTAAACTGACTTGTAAAGTAAAGTAAAGTTACAGCCTATATACATATGTCCCACAGCTGGGGAGAGGCCTCCTCTCATTTCTGACATGGTTTTAGGACAAGGAAGTGTCCACCGCGCAACCCCAATGCGTGTTGGCGACATCACATGTCTTCGAATTATTTTTATTTCTCAGACATGCAGGTTTCCTTACGATGTTTTCCTTCACCGCCGAACACGTGTTAAATCAGCACTTAAAGTTGCAATGAACAATTTCATTGGTGGCCGCGGGGATCGAACTCGGTTTGCTCGCGTACTGTGAAATTGACAGCGAGCGCTAAGTCCCTGAGCGGCGATAAACTAACTTGTAATATAAACAAATCAAATTATTGTTAATAGTAATATAGCCACTGGGCTAAATGCTAACCAGTTTTTTATTCATACTAGCTAGTCTGGCAGACGTTGTTCTGACCAGTGATAATAATTATTAATAAATTCACCCCGAATTTCTTAATAATTCAAAAACAGCGCCGACTACAATGCGCAGATCTAACCTAACATATATTGTAATTATGTGTAATGTTGGTCCATAAACAAAAAATTTGTTAATGATTTGACTACAGCTATAGCTATCGGGTCCTAGCATAGCTGCCACGAGTATGAACCATTGTCTCGTCAAAACAAATATTTTGTGTGAATAATATGACCTCAATCTTTCGTCAAATCGTTCAAAAGTTACACGATCGCTAACAGACGCACTAATAATTATATCTACATATATTTTAACTAAGCACCTATTTTCTAAAACATAATCTTTTAAATACTTTGCAATCCGGTTTCTGCACTAGCCATAGTACGGCTACGGCACTTTTATAAATCATCGATGATATTCGATATGATATAGAGAAACAAAAGCTTACTATTCTTACATTGCTATATTTAAGTAATGAATTTAATACTGTTTATTTTGATATCTTGTTAGGTATCTTGCGCTATCTCACATATCTTCATCTGTAGGTAGTAGACTGGTTTAGAAGTTAATTGTTTGGTCGCCAACAGCGCATTCAAGCACAAGATGTTTTTTTTCCTCCTTGTTTAACTACAGCGGCTGTTGTACCACAAGATGGCGATCCTCTCCTACAGCAATTTTCTATAATTCTATAAGTCACAACTTGTCCTTTTCCTATCACTTGTATGCTTGCTTGTATGAAGACTTACAAATCTATATTCAGTCCTCTCTTGAAGATTTGTCTAAAACAGTTGACACTATTGACGCTGATCTGACTTGTATTTTGAACTGGAGTAAATGTTTTGATTTAACGATTAATCCTAAGAAAACTCAGGCAATTTTTATTGTACCTACCTACTCTACACGTGTTCCATATTTTGATGTACAATAAGGAATAAATAAA